ATATACATATATACTATAATAATAGCAGCTTAATTATATTCACAATAGGAGTAGTCTGATTTTTGTGTACACTTTTGTTTGCAATATTGTATGTATATTTGCAATAAGAACAAGGATTATCAAATCGTATTGGAACGCTATTTGGTTTTAGTCGTACATTTAACGTAAAACGGTCAAAACATTCCTCTGTAAAATGGTTAGACCATAAAATGGACCATTTGTTTGACATCCAATTTTTATAATAATTTTTCAATCTCACCTCAAGCTATGATTGATATCAAGACCCTCTTGAATATAAGATCTGACTGTGAATACCGGCCTTACTGTACGTACATACATAAAAACAGCTATCCTGTATTTCAATTAGTAATTTATCATATCATGAACATATTATTATAATAAAATATTAACACACGAACGACATGTAAGTACATCTCATGCTGTGTTGTTTTTGTTGTTTAAACATTAGGTGTCTTTACTATATTTTCGTTATTATTTATTTGTAACTTAATATTTTCCTGACGATTAAGGGATATTAACAAAATATATATAATTGTCTGATCTATGTTACGTTCAATTATCTATCAATATTATGTTTGTATAAAAAACACACACATACTGATTATGAACTATTTAATGTTATTATTTTCATATGCACAAAACTTATTTCAATATTTGCAGTATCCAGTGGTATGGATAGTAAAATGCTTGCTTCACGTCCTTGGACTAGATGACCTCTTATCTATTCTCGTCTTCTAACTAGCGAGTGGAGGAAAGTGTAAGTTATAAGTGGATTTTTGACATTAAACATTGCATTAAATTTAGCCATAATTTAATGATTTCTATAGTTCAGACGAATTAATTTTCTTACAGAAGAAACAACTTCTCTTATCGGCACTGCAATGCACCATAATACACTATTAATAAGCACCTTATCTATAAAAATGATGCACTTACATAATCTTTATTATTATTTGAAGGTATAATTTAAATGTATTGCAAACATGTTAACTTTTAAATATATACACTCTAAGAAAATATGGATGTAAATTTTCACCAATGCAATGGTACGAAATGAACACCCATTCGAGTGTTTATATAATTTTCACCTTATCGATGTGAAATTAACACTGCTTGATTAGTGCGGAAAATTCACATTGCTGCGGTGTGAGACAAGCATATTGCTACGAATAATTGTTATAGTTACGTGTGGCGTCGTCATGGCAAAACAATATATAACATCAAAGTTGACACCGCGTTTGTCGGTGTGAAAGATTTTCTACAATATCGGTGTTAAAATTCACACCGAGTTATTTAACTACGTGAATATGGTGAAAGTTCACACCATTATTTTGTAAAGTGTATAACCTAACCTAAGCAATCGGGAGTAAAATAACATAAAAATATTATATGTAATTGGTAAAATGTAATTATGTGGCAACTATAATAAATTAATAATACATCAAACGATGCATTTTGCTACAAGATTATTTTATATACCTGTTTACTAACTGTTTATGAATAATTGAAATACTATAAAGAAATAATAAAAATCAGTTAAAAATATTATCTCGTTAAACTGAAATAAAATGCTCTATTTTGCAAAAAACCATGAAAAGTTAAGATATCAGTTAATGCAAATCTGCTAATCGGCGTATATCCGATGAGTACTTTCTTGAAAAGTATTCATCTCAAGCTGAACCATAGAATATCTTATAATTTACTTTACAATATATGCTGATGATTATGTGGGGATAGAAAATTATTTAAACATTTACTTTTGTACAAGATTGCTCCGTTGACATAACCCATACAACATAAAAGCTTGCAACAACATTGCTGCAACATTGCAACATTGCATATTATAGTGTAATGTTACATAGATATTGCAGAGATTATTTTATAATATTATTTTAGTAGTGTTGTAGCAATATTATTTTAAAATATTAATACAATTATGTTTGTAATATGTATATTGTTTCCTCATCTCGCTTTTGTAGCTTACTAGAAATGACAAAACGCGCGCTTCGCGCGCGCAGTTTGTAGTTCAATATTGTATATTTTTAAGAATTTGTATACGTGCAAAGAAGTAATATATGCGCAACGTCAATTTAAGGACGTTCTCTCAAAAATCACTTTTCTTAGAATTTCTTTGTACTTTGCATCATATGTGAATTTAAGTATCCCCTATACGTGGTCGCAAGCGCAACATTCATAGCGGGATGAAAATTTGAGATATTCGACTTCAAAATTTCAATTTTTAATATAGGTTCCGTATGACAGATCACTACAAAACGCACATTTTGCTTAATTGTAAAAAAACTGTTCTTAGAATGTTTTTTAGCAACTAGTATGTGATGCATTAAAATGTAAGAAATATTATCCAACTTTGAACATTAGGGCATGCGGTACTCATTTTTGAGAAACAACTGTGTAAAGTACGCCGTCGAGGCGTTTTTTTGACCGGCTTCGCGTGACAGAAAAGAAGGGGCATGCGCGACTTGGTAACGTCGCACCTACCGAGAAATTGACAAGAAGTGAGCACCGAAACCGTATGACTCGCAAGGTGTAAAATAATTATAGCCAGGAATATCATTTTTATAGTTACTATTACTATAACATTAGCAATAGCAACCATATGGACACAGTGATGCCAATTATTTAAAAAATTTTACTATAAAATATAAGCTTTTTACTCTGCTCGACATCGTGTATCCTTACGAAAATTAACCTTTCTGTTGAAGCCAATTGACACATTCATTCATACATATATTCATTACGAGCAGAAGCGCATCGTTGCCAGATCGTTCAAACTCAAAGCGATCGCAGTAGTACGATTTTTGTAATTCTGCGCAAAGTGACATTCAAATATTTTTCTCTTCAAGAGAGATTTTAATACGTGGGCAAGAGATCGGTTTGGGTGAGCACCACTGAACGAGAGAACGTCCTTAAAATAAAAAGTAATTTATCACTCACTGATACGATTCGCAACAGCACACTTTGTACATCGTTAACTATACAGGGTGTACTAAAACCACCGGAGGTCCTCTTAATGACAGATTCCTTAGAACATTTCCAGACGAAAATCCTAATACAAAAGTGTCGAGGCTATAATAGTTTTTAAATTAGAAGCGATTTTTTTCACAAATGATAGGACTGAAATTTCGCGCACTCAGGCACGACGAAATGACAAGTGATATTGTAAAGGGTACCTCCGGTTAAGACAGTCAAAATGACCTTATCTTTTAAAAGGAAAACCAAGTGTCTGTATATGTGTATATACTAACAACAAAATTTACTGTAACGTCCCCGTCCCCCCTTCCCCCACCCCCCCTCCAATAACGCAAAAAATCGCTAATTTTGCCTAATATTTTTTTCTCAAACCCTGTCTAATGAAAAATTATTTACAAAATTGAGTATCTAAACATAATAGAACTGCATTAATACAAATTTTTTCAATGCGTAGGAGACCGATCTTCTTAGTTTAAAAAAATCCTAAATGTGAAAAATCGCAATATTTTCGAACTTGAGAGGGCTTTACCCCCCATTTTTTTGTGAATAATATTTTTCGGTAATTTAAATTTCATAAATTTTTTCAGATTTTTTGGAATGGTGCGCCACCCCTAAATTGTCGAAAAACCGTATTTTTAGTGATTTTTTGTTATTTTTGCCTTTAAAAAAATTTACAGACCTTTTAATTATCTTCAAATCTTCATATTATATATCTTCAAATCTTAAAAAATATACAAGCGGGTAATGTAAGCGGGTAAAGTACTGAAGAAGGCTTAGTACAGCCGAAACGTTTACCACTAAATTTCGAAATAAATGGTGATATCTTTAAAACAAAACATCCACTAATGCTCGTCATTATGGCCTCTTAAAATTAATATAAATCTATTGACATAAATTATAAACGAAAATCTATCGAATAAAAGACTCCGTGAATCCAATTGAACTAAAATTTTATTCGATAAAAACTTGATCTATAAAGGCTCCCCCACCAATATTAATAAAATAGCACCTCTCTTTTTTATTTGAATTAAATGTTTATCCGATAAAAACGGACCAACTTGTAGAGGCCCTCTTTCTCCCCCCGTCGAATTCTTATCGGCGGTCCTCTTTTGTTTGGAATAAATAATATAACTTAATTAATTTTTTCACAACTAATTTTGAAATATATAAAGAAATATAAAAGGAGAGAGAACGTTACATAGTGAAACTAAAAACATGATATACAATAAAAAAATGTACAATTTTTCATTATGATATAAACTTACATATGAACATGTGACATGTTTTTACAATACATACCTAACTCTTACAATGTAAAAAATTAATAGAAAATATTACACAGTACGCTACGTCATTGTTTGGAACCGCCGCTCGGTCTACAGAGCATGGCGAAACAATAGGTCACGTTGTACGCAAGATTATTTACGCAGCGACAAATAAAATTAAATGTTATATATTACACAAAAACTTTTTCTTTGAAACCTACAAAAGTAGAATTACAAAATTCCTCAAGGACATATACCTATGTATATAGATATGAAGAAATATCTCTTTGCGATAACAAAAATGACTTCTTTTAAGTATTTTGCAACAATAATTTCATATAATTTTAGCACAATTTAAAAAACGATAAGATGTGGCATTTTTTTAACGGAGTTCTCAACAAGTCAAACAAACTGAAGAATAATTCTTTGAAACTACTTCACTCGCGCATTGACGTTACTCGAAGTGAGAGTACTAAGAGAATATTATTTTGCCGAAGATTAATATTTTCAAACACTGAATTCAAATCGCATTTTACTTAGCGCATACTTGAAAATGCAGGCGTTAAATGTATTTCTATTGTTGGCCCTCATCGGAAGTGTTTGCGGAAACCCGGTATGTATAAATTGTACAATGATGAACAACATTATCATAATTTGTATCATTATTTCTTTATTACAAATCAAGTTTATCATCGTACTATCAACTTGTGAGAAAAAATAAGGTCATTAAATATATGTATATAAAAATAGTACATCTTCTAGCAGTATTCAATATCTATTTATTCATAACTCAGAATCGAAATTAATAATCTTCTAAATGATATTTATATGACATCTTGTAATTATAAAAATATATAGATAAAATTAAAGTAATAAAACATTCTAACAGAATTTGGAGGGCAAGACAATCATATTAGGCTTATTTATTAGTCAATGTAGAAAATTGCATGACGACCAACTTAGTTAATCAACTACTGGCGTTAAAATAATTCTTTACGTTATTTATTAGTATTTACGTTAACTTCGATTAAGTTTATGTATGTAATACTAAAGTAAATTAATGAACTCCTGTTAATTTTATCTTCTTATAATTAGATCTTTTTTGACGAAGACGCAACTTTAGAATCTGATTCACTTCCAAAACTAGGGCTTCCACCACAGATGGTGCAGGTAAGGTTAAATTAACGTAAGTGTTAAATTAACAAACAAATTTTACAAAAAAATTACACTTATCATGAAAGATATTACAAGAAATATTGAAATGTGTTAAAGAAATATGAGCTCCTGTTAATTTAATCTTCTTGTAATTAGCGTTCTCTTCGCTATCCTTCGAGTGCCTCAAGCCCTTCTTCAGAAGTTGGTTTCCTTTCAGGACTTTCACCGCAAATGCAGGTAAGGTTAAATTAACGTAAGTGTTAAGTTAACAAATGAATTTTACAAAGAAAATTACACTTATTATAAAAGATATTACAAGAAATATTCGAATGTGTTAAAGAAGTATAAATTAACAAAATTATATACAACACTGTTCTAAGTTTATTTAACATTATTGTTATTTTCATGTGCATGGAATTCTCAGTTTTTGGAGTACCTCGTGTGTGAAATCATACCTCAGCTTATCAGCTATACAGATCCTAACAGCTCTCTACCCGCAATAATAAATTCTGTCTGCAACTCAATCTCGTACGAGTACATAGCCAGATAAAGAATACAAAGAAATATGTAAGTTATATAAATAGATTGGTGGCGTTACAAACATTGCATTAAATTCAGCCGTATAATTAAATGATTTCAAGATTACAGGTGAGTTAATTTTCTTACAGGAGGGACACCTTCGTTTATTGCTACTGTAATGCACTGTTATTGAACTCTTTGAAAAAGATGTACTTAATGCACCGTCTTTATTATTATTTAAATGTATAATTTAAATGCACTGTAATCACGTTAAATGTTAAAATATAAGATTACATAAAAATATAACATGTATACCCTGGTAGCCAGGGTATATATTTTCACATCGAAATGATAACAAATGACGTCAGCTAGCTATCTGATGGGTATTGACAAAATAACTTGACAATTATTATA